TGGATATATCAGGAATGGTACAGAATCAAAGTGTATAACCAAAATATAAAATATGAACTCACTAATACTCAAAAGCTCACTTGTATTAATTAACCAGTCTGATTACAAGGAAATTCCTGATCGGTAGGTCGGAAACAATACTTTAATAAGAGCAATAATGCTATTCTAGAGCCTGAGTATTGAAATGCTAACCCTTACAATGATTTTAAACCTTCTATTTATACTAATGGAGAGCATGGGCTGCTTTATGCTGATTGACTATTGTTCCACCGACTTGGTCACCCATGTTTCCACTTGCTGATGTCACAATCTGGCATTGATTGCACCTGGCCACTTGCCGGTTGTCCGTTGCTCGAACGGGATGTTGGACCATGCTGGAGACGATGTCAAATTGGCCCAAGTATGATATATAGTCCGAACTCCGTTCGGTATTGCTTCTTACTGGGTCAACCCTTTTTTGGGCCGAATCTCGATCGTCATGAATTCTTCATAGAGTGATGGGCCCGTCGTTCGGGCCGAGTATCTTGGGCCTTCTTGATCCGGGTATTGGGCCTCTGGATCAATATCCCAACAGATATTAAGTAAGTAAATATGATAAAGTTCTACAATTATTACTACTAATGGAATAATAAGAACAGATAATATTAAACTTCTTTTTGTAATAATAATAATAATAATAATAATAAACTCTAACCTTTGAACACGAAGCCTTGTTTGTTTGGTTGGTGTGAAAGTGTGGGAGGAGGATAGGAGATGTTGCTGGGTGTGAAAGTGTGGAGGAGGAGTAGTATTTATGCCGAAAATGTTATCACGGTGAAATTCGACGGACCAATGAAAACGCTCAGAAATCTTTATCTTCTGCATTCGGAGATGTCAGCTCCGAAAATGGGAAAACGGCTGACATTTTCTGACGCCAACGGCTTTCGGAGTTGTCAGATCCAAAAAGCCTTTTTAAAGCTGCTTTCGACCACTTCAAATTTGGAGTACTGAACTCCGTTTTACTCTTTTTCGTCAAAAAAATTACATCAACGCGATTCGAAAACACCTGCTCAATTTCTACTCTGTTCCGTCATTTCCTCGTGTAATAATGCAAGGGAAAAGTAATAAAGGTGACTTGAATGACAGTGACATCAGCAAATATGGTGGATATTAACAATGAGAGACAAGTAGGACGTGAATACTAACAATGAGAGCAGTAAGCCATTTATGAAGGCATGTGATACGCGTAAATATAATGGATATTTAATTCACTATAGTTGTGAATAGTTTTTTCTTTAGGGAATTTAAATTGTAAAAGGGTATTTTAGATTCATTAATCATGTTTAGTCATAATAATATTAGTAGTCATATTTAGGAAAACTATGTTTTAGTCATATCACCATAAACTTCCCTTTCAAATAGTAGAATTGTATATTGGGACCATCGAAAAGTTATTGTTACATCAGAAACTTATAAACTTAACACATATAAAGCCACTTTTACTATTACGTAGGACCTGCCGGTGATGTCGACAATAGTAGGGTTGTAAACGAATCGAATAATTTTGATCCGATTCGTGATTCGAATTTGAAATTGATGATTCCAATTCGAAATATTCGAATACGAATCAATTTTATTATTCGAATAAAATTCGAATATGAATATACATATATTCGATTCGTAAGTTATTCGAATACATTCGATTTGTATATTTACGAATTATAAATATATATTCTATTATATTTATAATTTGTATACTACCTCCGTTCTCATTTTAACTTCCAAATGGGTTTGACACAAAGTTTAAGATAGTGGATATTGTGTGGTGGAGAGTTGTGCAGAGGAGAGAGAAATGTGTAAGAAATGTTGTGAACCACAAATTCTTTACCAAAAAGGGAAAGTGAAAGTTTTAATTGGAACAGATGAAAAAGGAAAATTGAAAGTTTATTTAGGAACGGAGGCAGTAATTGTTTAAAATTAAAATATAAAATAGGTAATACGTATTCTAGGTTTAAGTAATTGAATTAACTTTGTTTACTTTATTTGTGTGTGTTTCTTTAGCAATTGAGTTTTGAAGTAATTGAATTTTTGAAATAATTCATTTAATAGACATTTGTGAAAATCGAAAAATGCCTAAAATGAGTCATAGTTTGAATAGGTGAATATTTTTTGACACTTCAAATATTTGAATTGGAATTCGAATATTCGAATATGAATATACTCAAATACAATAAACGAATCGAATATGAATCTATTGTAAGATTCGAATAATATCCGAATACGAATACGAATATTCGTCAATTTATACGAATACGAATAATATTACTCACTATTCGGTTCGATTCGATTCGTTTACAACCCTAGTCGACAGTCGTGCCATATAACATGTTAAGGGCAACTGTAGTTCAACCATAACGAATTATAGTAGGCTTCATGCATACGTAGTATCATATAAACTAAATATTCCATAAAAATAGAATAAACTAAAAATATTTCATTATTATGCAGCGGAAAATAATATTTAAAATAATAATTAGACACACCCAATACAAGAGTAATAGAAAATATTTATCCATGAGCATTTCTAGGTGAAGTTTAAAATATAATAGGGAAACACGAATCAAGTCTTCACTCAATTCCAAGTACAATCTTTGCAAGAGTGCGGACAACAAACACGAGCTTCCAACTGAAAATATTAGCGAGGTCCTCAGGAGGGGTTAGTAGAACCAGTACTGGTGAGGGAAGGTGACACTATAAGATATATAATGAGCATCTATCCACAAGACCCTTAAAATATGATGATACGTCATATAAAATTATTATATAGTAATTGGTATTGCCTGTCTAGTCAATACCTACTTTGTTGATACGCTTACACTTGCTTCTTGTAAGGAAAGTAGCCTTCTCCGTAGAACTAGTCTACCCAATCGTCACATAAAAAAGTATAGTAGAACCTAAGCGACCTTAATATGAATGAAATGAATCAGAGTACACTTAAGACAAAGAAGAACCTCTCCTTTCACTCGAGGCACTTCTTTATGCCCTTACACGAGACACAGATAGCAAACAAATATCTAGATTCTCTTTGTTGCACTCAAGGCTGGGTAAAATGTAACCCTCACTTGCCATTGTATTTGTTGGTCTTATGGGAGATCAACATCTTCCTTTGATTCAGGGCTTAACCGCTCAATCTATTGACACCACGGTGTGGTGCAGCCTCTCATGTACATTCACCGATCAGTAGTTGAGCTTTATACTGCTGTAGTAAACTGTGGGTTGTGCCCCACAGAAATCTACCTTGACTTGAGGACTAAAGAGCAATGTGTTAAATAGAGGTTGCCTCACAGTCAATTAGTTTTAAGAAGGACATGACTGTTATTTAACCACAGAACTCTACAGTTAAGCGAGTGATCGGGCTAAACTTACAAGTATACAAGTGCCGATGTAATAATAAATACCGGTAAATACCGGGTCGATCCACATGTAAATGATTGATACTACTCCCTCCGTCTCACTGGACTTTGCCTATTTTTCCTTTTTAGCTGTCCCAAAAAACTTTATCACTTTCCTATTAAAACAACTAATTTGTGGTTCTGCACATTTCTCTCTCCTCTACACAAATCTCAACCACACAATTTTTATTTTTCTTATTTCTCACCTACTTTGCACTTGGCAAAGTCCACTGAGATGGAGGTAGTATAAAGTTTGAATATTGAGTGCAAAGTATAGGAATGATTTAACTTTTCAGGAACTCTTTTCTTTGATGTTGTTTTTAAACAAGAATAAGGATTACTAAGGCAATTGAGATTAACCTAAATGCTTTAATAGAGTTTAATGCTTTAAGGGCTTTAATTCGATATATGGTATACTCAAAACGGATAATCGGTGAATGAGAAATTGATTCTCGAAATTCACTCGTTGAAATGAAGAAAACTAGGAAAATGTTGGATTTCTAGTGTGATATTTTCCACATCGAAAAACCCAAAGGATTTTCACACCCTTATAAAGGAAACCCTCTTTGAAGAAGTTAAGATTCCTAGGTAGAAAGGCTCTCATCCCGCACAGGGGAAGTGCCGATCAAATTCCAAAAACAGAGAAGAAAAACCGCGACTTGCGTGCGCGAGTGACCTGACCTGCGGACACGAATGTCATACAAAAATCTATCGTCTAAAGATAAGATTTAATTTTTGTTTCTTCCCGTAACGTTTCTATTTTTGCTTCAGGACCAGCCGTGGCCAGGCTGCTGCTCACTTGTTGAACGCTCACCAGTAGGCTGTTGTTTGCTGTTGAAGCGTTACAACAATAAATGCCCAACGATCATCTCCCTTAATGCACCTTAAACGGACAGTTTTTGGACGAATCAATACCCAACGATCTAGTCATTGATGTCCAATCTTCAGGTCCATTAAGACGCCATTAACACAGAACAAATATGTCCCTATAAATGGTTGGTAGATGCTTTGCAACAAGACACGTTCATACACATTCCTCACGTAGTTTTCAACCTAAAAACACATTCACTTCTCTTTGAAAATTCCTGTGTTCAGTCCTTGTTTCTTTTCGCTGAAATTGTCGTTTGTGTTCTTGAACGATCGTTCGTTAGTCACTGTATCCTGGAAAACTATCGTTACAACGCTCCTAGCACCGTAGGAGGCAACGAATACGTTTTAAGGGCATCATGCGTTGCACAAGCTTTGGCTATTTTCTGTTCCATCTTATTTCTTTGGCTATTTTGATTTATTAATTTTCTTCGTTTTCCGAGTTCACACCAACAAATACAAGGAAATTGGCGTAAATAGGAGTAAACATCTTTGAGAAATTTAAAATAAGACTACCATGTTTTTCTTCCCAAAATAGGAGTCGTTACTGTCATGATTGCAAAATACTACCATGATTGAAAAATATTGTCATTAATTATAATAAATATTGTCATGTTGAATGCACGGTACTACAACTATTTGACAGTTTTGATTAAATACTGTCATTTTACTCCAAAATAACAACACTATTTTGGAATTCCACCTTATTTAGTCCTATTTTTGAAAATCTCTCTACTTAATAATCATGTAATATATTCTTATATTGAATAGTTTTATGATTATTTGTACAATTTTGTGTGAAATTTCACTCGGTCACATGTTTATAAAATGACAATATGCTATAGCATATACGGAGTAAATGAGTAAGTAGCCTCTTCTCAAGAAAGATAATCAGGCCACTCTTTTTTTATTCTCTTTCTCTTTCAGATATATAATTAAAAAAACTTTATTTCAGCTAGTTAGCCTCTTGTCCTCATAATAGTGATCGTTCCTCTACCCCGAGTCTGAATTCTAGTTAAAGCCACCACGGCCTTGCCGGACAATCCAGTTCCAACCGGCGAACTCTGCCGTCGGCAAGCAAAGTCTCCGACGGGATGCTTTACCGGCCTTCTCGGCGGCATCAGAATCCTCTCGTTGATGTCGTTAAGCGTGATGTCCCCTTCAGTCCCTCCCGGCTTCACCACCGCGAACGGGTACACCAACTTTGCCGTCACCCTTTTCCTCGGCCGCTGACCTCTGTCGCTTCCTGCCCGGTTTAACACAACGTTAGTCTCCCATTTAGGAAATCAAAAAGAGAAAAAGTACAAAAAAACTAAATGGAAATGGGCCATGCAGATTCACGATTATCGTCGATCAGTAATTAAAAAATCTCCAGAAATGGTAATTGAAGGGGACGGGCCAGGAAACTTACCGGCGGCGGAAAAAGACGGCGGGTCCACGGAAGGTGGGGTTTGTAAATTATCATTGCATTTGGAGAAAGAAGATAAGGAAGAATCGCTGTTGGCTGCAAAAGCTGCGATGGCTTCTGCATCTGGTTTTTTTTCCATACCTGTGAAAAAGATGTAGTTTCATTTTTGAAAATTCCTTAAAAATTAAATCATAATCAAAATTCACTAATACATATGATTATCATCTCTCCATCTCGATCTTACTTAGTACGTAGAATAATTTGCCAAGTGTAATCAGCACGAAAACTAATTAAATAAAAATTATTTGATTAAGATTTGCGCAAAAGAGAAAAACACAAAATTATAAGAAAAAGAGGAAGTAAATATAAGAAGTACAATCACAATTGTTGTACATGCTTTTTTGTACTTATCGGTACACTCTCGGTTAATAGGCTTTTTTTACTGTGAATAACCTGTGTTTTATAGAGAAGATGTTTTATTTGTTATGAGGCTATCTATAGACAAAATATACTGTGTCCACTAATGAGTGTACTAAAATGTGTACAAATTGTTTTGTACTATGGAGGAAGTATGTCCAATTTCACAATTATTGCGGTCAACATAATGTCAGCAAATATGGTGTAGTCAAAAACATAATTTTGTTTTTTGTCTATTTTACTGAATTTGAAAATTTAATCAACAAATGGAAAATGTATCATCAATGAACTGACATGACCTTTACCTACTAAAAGTTCTCAAAGTGATCGAGTGTGCTTTAATTATTTCCATTAAACAAAAAAATAAAGTGAAATATAGAATGTAAGAAATTTAAATAGTGATTAAATGATAAAACTATCAATACTAAATCAAATGTGGTATTAAAATATACCCTACCCTAGTAAACAAATCATCAACCCATGTGATTTGATTCTATTTGTATAACTAATTAAACTTTAAAAATGAGGTGGAGGATTCCACCAAAATTAAATATAGGTCATTCTTTAAAATTAAAAAAAAAAAGAGCTGAGTTTTGCCTCTGGTGGGCCACCCATGCGGTCCCAGTAGTATTATACCGTACGTATTAATTACCAATCTTCCATATTGATAATTAATTCAATTTTAATAATTAAAATGTACATATTCAGAAACTACATTAAAATTTCTATAAAGTTGCAAAATCTAAATTAAAGTTTAATTAAGAATTGATTTCTTAATTAAGTAATACAATGAGTCTGTTTAACCCAAAAAAGCAATTTTCACAATTCAATTTGAGACGGAGGTGTACAAGTCTAATCTTTCATATATTCCCAACTAATCATTAATTGTTCCAATTCTGAATAAATACATTATAAACTAATCATTAGTGTGAGTAATTAATAATACTTCTTACTCCCAACTAATCTTTTCTTTTTTGCTTGTCTCAATAACATTGCAACTTTCCTTTTGAAGTACAGAATTTGTGTTTTCAGATAACTCTCTCCTTTGCACGAAATCCCAATCACACAATTAGTAAGAGACATAGAGAGTATAATTTAGTCAATCATTTTTGTTGTACTCACCCTTATACTCAGTCTTATATTCATTTCTATGAAAGCTTTTTTATATGTGAATCTCATTCACCTACAAAATATCTTATTTTATCTGTGTAAATTTGCACAGACAAAATAAAACATTTAGTGTCTTTTTTCATGGACCGGTATAAAAGTGAAAGTAGAAGTGGATATGTTTTTTGTAATTGAGTAACTATTCAACCCGTGGCTTGGGCGTTCGGTAAGGAATATTTGTTCGAAATAGACTAGACTAGCTGATGAAAACGGAGGAGCTGTTATATGAAACTTTAATTTAATTCGTATGATTGAGACCCTTCAGTGTTACGTTTTGACCAGCCACCACCTGAAGAAGAACTTTGGTTTTATAAATAATACTCCGTACGCAGTAAATAAATAAAAAGAAAGATCAAGTGCGCTAGCTTTAATTCTCACAAAAATGACAGTAGAGACAAATCTATCTCAAATTGAATTGAAGTATATACTTCATATTACTTTCATGCATGTTATCAGGGGCTGCCCTAGGGGGGCGGGCGCCATAGGCCAAAAAAATGGGTAAAAAAGGCCCAAGTTTAGGTCTTTGTAATATGTGTGAGTAGGTTGATTTTTCAATCTAAACCAACAATTTTTTGGGTGAAATTTGTTGAAGTTCTTCGGAATGGATTTTTTTGATTAAAAGTTATGATCATGTTCTCTATGAAGTGTAGATTATGTAAGAAAAATCAGTTTAAAGTTCAATTCAGAAGTTAGTTAAATAAATGACCGAAAAACAGTAATTTTTCGATTGAATTTTTCAGTATTTTATACATAGAACTCACGATACCTCACGATCAATTTTGGCGCATTAATTTTTTTCAGTATTTTATTTACCATACCTCACGATTAAATTTTAAGTTGAATGTCGTTTTCAAGATGAGAACTCATAGAACAACAATAATTGAGCTACTAAAAATGAAATGATTTAAAATGATTACATCATTAGAGGTGGAATTTATGATGTGATAATAATAGAGTTAATTTCTTAAATTTGACATAAACATTGGTAAATGTACAAATAGGATCACCATTCTTTCCTTCCTATATAAGGATCACCAATATTATAATATGATCGGTTTAGTCAAAGTAGGATTTTATAATTTTTATAAATGTCTTGAAATATCAGTATTGTTATTATGGATGCCAGTTTAAATAGAAAAGATTCTACAATTTTTTGTAACGTTAGGCTCATTTTAATTTTCCGCCCCTTGGCCTTGGAACACACCGGGCCACCCCTGCATTTTATTATAAACTTGTTTAATTTCGATCATGAAAATAAACTACTCTTTTAGCGGCATATAATATTGACCTGAAATGCGATCACACTTGCGCATCTCCCCCAAGTTATCGTAATTCTCATAACAATAATCCACCTTTATATTGCCATCATCCAGGCAGCTCTGCATCAGACATAATTTGTCAACTTCAATTCGCCATTCGGCGAATCAAATTTGTGAAAATGGATCCCAAAAACCGATCAATAATTATTAATCCATTAGAGCCCGCTTGATAACACTGGAATTGGTTGATTCGGTGAAATTTATAAAATTCTAACTGAAGTGGATGGATTGATTGCAGATTTGTGAAAAAATTATATTTAAAATATTTTTTTATTAACAAAATCAAGAAAAAATTATATGAAAAATAACTAAAACGATCATCTATAATAACTTCAGCCAATACAACAAGAAAAAGTAACTCCAACCTTATTTTTTTCGTATTACACAATTCAACGTGGAAATCAAAAGTTACATGTTTGATAAGAAAGTTGACTGGTAAGTTTGAGAAACCGAAAAACAGAGTCACCAAACGGGCTATTCTAGTCTAGATTTATAGACACAATCAAATGATTTTAAAATTCTAAAAGTTTATATACAGTAATTAAATTAGATTAATACACTATAAGCTAGCTTAATGTTACCCAAAGAATATTCAAGTCCGTGGGTCGTTGATCGTCATCATCATCATCGAACAGTAATAACCTCTTCTTCCTCCTCTTTGTGTTGAAGTTGAACAAAGCATCCTCCAGGTACCCTGTCGACGCGTCGTCAGAGTCCATGTACGAGAAACACGGCTGTGTGTTCTCTATTCCTGTACGTACGAACGAATTATTTACTCATTAATTAATTCATTTATTTATCAGTATATCTATCCTACTAACATTCAGACATGCGAGGTTGATTGAATCGTTAAAGTAACAAATAGTAAGAACGATTAAAAACCATATAAATTTTATCAAATTTGGCATAACATAATCTACTTTTAATTTATATTTAACTCTTTTTTTTTAAATGTAAAATCTTTGATATACATGCATGCCCATATTGTTTGTATAGTTCTGTACAACGAATGTAGGTACAAATAAAAAGAATCCATTCATCATAGTGATTTGAATGAATGGTTTGACTCATCATGACCGTTTAATTCAAGATCAAATGGTTTGACTCATCATAGATATAGTGACTCGACAGTATGTTATCATACTTTACGCATTTAAACCAAAACATATACTTCTTCTTTAATTCTTGCAATTTTTTCCATTATTCACATACTTTACTTTAATCACGATTTTCTACTAATATACATAACCAAATTATTACGTATAAAATGTTATCAAATTCCTATCAATGTAAATTTCCAAAATATCAAATTTTTATAATGTTTACTAATACATAATTAAATATAATTACAATCAAAGTTGTGCGTCGGCAAACGTGAAAGTCAACTGTTGTAAGAATTAAAGAAAGGAGCACAAAAAATTCCCAATTTACCAATAGAATAACCTTTGGCTTTATTAAGACTACCTCCTTTCCCACGATAAAATTCCCAATTTGACAGTTTTTTGAGTTGAAGTTTGATTCTAAGTATTTAAACAAATATAATTATAAAATCTATAATATTAATATTTGAGCAATATGTATTTCAATGAAACGTATGAAATCAATTTATAAATTTTGATTCAAAAAGTGAGATTAGGAATTAAATTGTGGGACCACAGTGGTAATAACTCCATATACGGTGTATAGATATATAGGCGAGGAAAATAGAAGGAGGTCGGTGGGAAGAACTTGAATTACCGGGAGAGGGAAAGAAGGTGGGATGGACGGCGGCGATGTCCCAAGAACCTCCACTTCTGAAGGAGGAAATGGTGGCCGCTGCACTATGATCGGTGGCGTGTGGATTGCTCATTGTGTTTTGTCAATGGAGTACAGAAGATTGGCCTATTTATAAGGAAAGAAAGAAACAAAACAGAAGTGTATGTGGGACCAACAAAATCGTATTATCATGCACTTGGTCCTTTTCTTTTTGGGATCGTATATGTTTTGGGTGAGGATTTACAATGTTTTTTACTACTTCATTCATTTGTTTCACAAAATTCTTTTCATTTGTCATTTTTAAATGTCTCACATAAAAAAATTCCAAAAACCCTCTACCCTTGTATCTTCAAATATATTTTTATTTACTTTTTATATACGGAGTATCTAATATTGGTGTGATATGATAGATAATAAAAAAATTTATGAATTTCAATATATTTTGTAAAAGTGAGAAGAAATAAAAAAGTCATAGCCATTTAAAAGTCATTTAAAAGAGAGAGTTCTTTTATTTGGGTCCCAATAAGTCATTTAATTGTTAATTTCTCATATACTACTTGCATGTTTGGTAGCATAAGTTTATATCTTTTATTTTTTTTGTATTATTTAAAAAGTCTCTAAAGCTTCTAGTTTAATGTTTGACATGACAATTTTAAGAGTTATTTTTAAAATAAAAGGTCTTTTTTGAGAAGCTACACATCCAAGAAAAGTGTGTAACTTTTAGCATTAATTAGTTAGAACAACTTGTATATCAAAGTGAACTAAATCAAATAGTCAGCTTTTTATGAAACAACTATAAATATTCCTTTTTAAGACTTTATCATTCAGTAAAAGCTAATACAAAACAGTTATTAAAAATCACAAAAATATATCTTCTCAACTAGTTGTGCAAAACATACGCTATTTATGGAGTACTACCTCCGTCTCCTATAATTTTCCCATTTTTTCATTTTTGGATGTCCCTATATTATTGTCTCATACCATATTTGGTAACATTTGTATAGCTCTAATTCATTTTTACTTTATTTTCACTTTATCAACTCATTTTCAACCACATAATTTTACTTTTCTTAAAAACTGCATCACTCCCTTCCTAGAGTAAAAAAATTGAACCTAAAAATCTCCACCCCACATATATTCAGATTTATTTTTATTTATTTTTATATATGTAATATTGGTGTCAATGAAAGATAATGAAAATTATATATGGATTTTAATATATTTTTTATGAAAAACGAATAACAGATAAAAAAGTTATTATCATTTTAAAAAGAGAGGTTTTTGTATAATTTGAGTCCCAATAAAGTGATTTGATTGGTAGCTTGATGGCCTTGTTTAGTACTTGGTTGTTAGTGGTTAGCTGATTCTGTTAGCGATTTTGATCGGCTGATTGATTTAGCGATTTTGATTAGATGACAGATTTAGATGGTTTGTGAAAAAAGTGTTTGATAAAAGTACCTTTTTTATTTAGCTTATTGATTTATTTATTAATTATTACTTTTGTTATGCAATTCACATGTTTATTAATATGACATGTTTTGAATTATATGTCTGGTTGATTCTAATCAACAATACTCAAACAATAATATAATAATGAGCAATTAAAAATCCAATTCTATTATGATTTTAAAATACTGAAAAATGATCAAGAATAAATTCATCACAAATTACAATATGACTTAGGGAGATTTTCCTAAATATATAGGACTAAATAAAAAGATAATTGCAACAATAGGAGTTAAATGTTTAAATTCTCAAAATAGGACTAACTCTTCCTATTCTACCCTTTCCTTTGTCCTTCATAATAGGATTTTTAAATATTCATTATAAAGCATAAAAAAACTTAAACAACAAATCGTAATAAATAAATAAAAAATATACAGACCTTAAACACCACCTCAACCACCTTCCAGCACCACCATCTTCGGTCGCCGGAAAAGATTGCAAAGTTGGGGAAAATGTCATCGTAATGGCATTTTTGAAAAGAAAGCTCGATATTTTCAGAGTAAAAATGTCATCTTTATGGCATTTCCAGATAAATGTGGTATTTTTTACACAAGATGACATTTTTTTCTGCTATCAGAGGTGGTGGTGTTGGACGGTGGAGGATGCAGAGATGGGGCCTACATATTTTTAAAATATTTTTGTAGGTATTTTATTTTATTTTTGTAGATTTTTTTGTGTTTGTAAAAATATTTTTTAATTTTCTAATATTTTTAATTTTCTATTTTACTTTTAATTTTCCTGATTTTTTTATTAATCTACAAATATTTTTACGATTTTTGTGTTTTTATTATAAACAAAACTATGAGTTTTTGTAAAAATAAATAAATCTATTAGAAATTATAGGTTGGGGGTAAATAGAAAGAAACATATATTATTCCTATTTTGAGAGTAAACGGAGTATAGTCCTAATGTGGAATTTTGGGCTACTTTTAATCCCATTTAAGGCTAATAGCCGTATGAGTTAACATAGCTTTATTTCATGTGTCATATTCGTGCCAAAAACATTTTGACACGAGCTATGTGACATGAAAATATTGGATCAAATCATGCTAAATTCGTGTCAATCTCGTAATTTTTTTATAGTGTGTGATCAATGTAATTACATATTTACACTTTGATTTTCTGTATATATTTATTAAATTCAAATTTTACTTTTACGATCCAATAAGGCAATAACTACTTTTAGTGCAATTTTAAATATCTTAATTCCAAATTCTAAGAATAATGTAAATACAGTCAGTAAAGAATTAATTTATAATATGAAAACCGTCCTAATCAAAATAACTGACCATGTCCAATAGAAATCATGAGATCGAGAACAAAATTAAAGTCATTTTGGTAACTTCTTGTTTACTTACCAGCCAATTAATGTTTATACTAAATCTTAAACTTTGCTTTCTCGTGAAGTGTTTCTTTATTTGATCCCCGGCTTTTGTTGTAGCGTCTTTAAACAACGATTTGATCAATGATAATTAATATTATTATTCGAAAGAAACAGTTAAAATTAAATTTCATAATTCAACCGAAGCAACAGTTGCAGCCTTGCAGGCATTTTTCAGCATTTGTGTGAACGTATCAAATTCAATTTTAAATGGTTATTATTATGAGTTTATCATCTGTAAAAGCAAAAAAAAGTACAGAACTGGAGTAAAGGATACAAAAGAGTGAAGTCAGCCGAGGGCCAGAAGGTAATAGGGATAACAAAGAAAAAGTGATGCAAATTAAAGAAAATAAGACGCAATGATGAATTTTGTTTGTTCCTGGGGATTCGATATTTGTCGACTTTTCATTTCTTCGCGGTTTTACTCCCCAGTCACTAACATACCATAAAATTTTTTGATCAAATTTATTAATCATATTTATTCCTGGGAAATTTTTTGTACATCGGGAAGTCAGACAAATATGGAATAGAAAAACAATGGGTTGTTTATAATAGCCTAATATATTTAGGAATCTGCCTAATATATATTTAGGAAACTACCTAATATATATTTAGAAATACTTTGTATTTTGGCAACTCTTCTATTATAAATATATCTGTCAGGGCTCCTATTGGAGTACTCTTTTCCATTATTTCACATGGTATCAAGAGCTCTAGGTATGTAGATACACAATTTCTTTTTTTCTCTTTTTTTTTCGGTTCCCATGAATCCTAGTACAGCCGCTGCCGCCTTGGGGTCGACTGCCGCCACATTTACGGTAGTCTCCAATCCTTTGAGGATGAGCGCGGTTGATATGACGCAGATCATCTTCCCCGCGTCGCTGACCACGGTGCCTTCTTCTAGCGTACCGATGAGTTCGCCGCCTGTTGCTGCCTACGTCCGCGCAGCCCACATTCTTCGCGTCGCTGACCACGGTGCTTGCTTCCAGCGCACTGTTGAGTTCGCCGCCTGCTGCTGCAGACATCCATTCTCTAGTCGAGTCCGGTTCGACCGCTCACACAGCTGTTCCAAAGCACTACACCTGTTCCACTCTCTCTGGCGACCCTGGCATGATCCCATCGTCTTCTGTCGGGCCAGTTGGTTGTCGGCCGAGATCCTCTCCGCTGCCCACTTCATTCGCTGCTCTTGCTCAAGAAACAACCTACTTGCTCATGGAGATCTTATTGTCAAATATGTGCCTCCTAACCTTCCACCGGCAGATATAATTACCAAGAGTTTTTTTGTTTGTTAGATTGAAATTTCATTTTTTAAATTAAAAACAATCTGCGCGTTGTATCTCCCGCACAGTTTGAGAGGGTGTAATAGCCTAATATATTTAGGAATCTGCCTAATATATATTTAGGAAACTACCTGATATATATTTAGAAATACTTTGTATTTTGGCAACTCTTCTATTATAAATATATCTGTCAGGGCTCCTATTGGAGTACCCTTTTCCATTACTTCACAGTTTATACATTATTTCTGTGTATTAATATTCTGCATGCACATGAGATAATAATTAAATAATTAAGGAAAAATCTAAAATTACTTGTAACCGAGCCCAACTTAAGTGTTTGTTTCCTTAAGACGTTTTTGCCCGACACACGTAGCAAGCGTCTCCCAGGATAGAACGGTTCTTCGCTCCCAACGGGATTCCGGCGAACTCAAAGATGCAACGAAAAGAGAATATGGAGGATTGTGTGATGATTTCGGATACTCCAAAATTGAAGACAAGGAGGGTATTTATAGAGCTCTGGTCAGGAGTCTCTAACCCAAAAGACACCTATTAAAAGAAAGTTCATGTCTCCATGACCTTTCTTTTTAAACGAATGGATGTGTCTTTTATTTGGTTTTATCCGAAAAAGAAATAAAACGTAGCAAAAAATAATCTCTAGTCTTTAGCCATACGGATGTGTCCGGTGAGACTCGAACCCGATCCGGCCCGGCCGACTGACGGCGCCGGTGTATGCGTGTTAAAATAATTTAACGCTTATCTTTCGGGAAACAATTTCTCATTCATTTCAAAATGATTTTTCCACAAATAATATTAGTAATATTCATTTGTAAAACCATTTTTCCAACAATCCCCCACATGAATGGGAAATTGGCTTAATGACAGGAAACTGATTGGAATTTGACATGGGAAGATGGGAACTCTGCATAGGGTTAGGTAGTCGTGAAACTTTGAACCTACCTTAGTGTATATCCATCGGATTTACTGGACAATCGGTAGCATTTTGCTTTGAACCGTCAGCCACTTTGTAAACCTAGACAATGAATAACACACAGAGCCCCGGGTGCATCTTTTGTTCTCACATTTGTGTTCGTTTTGGCCATGAACACCTCCTGGTTCAGCTAGTGTTTTCGAGAGTGTATCGTGCACCAGAGAATTTATCTCGTACCATAGACT